GCAAGACAAACTAATATCAATCTTGCACATATCTTTTCCTTGCACACAGTACTCTGCATGTGATGCAGGCAGAAGGGGACCCTGAGGAGCTGTCTGGAAAACTCAGCTCCCGTCCCTGCTCTGAGCCCTGCCCTTCCACAGCTGCCCCATGACGGGGACCTGGGTTTCTTTGTATACCCCGGAATTTAATTACAAAATTTCCTTTTGCGCTTCTGCAATTTACCTCGTGGACGTGGCCAGGCTGATAAGGGTTTTTTTTCCTTTTCCAAAGGAAAAGTGTCTGTGTTCAGACATAGCACGTACTGTTAAAAAGCAAATGTAATAGCATCAACCAACCCAACAAGCAAATAAATCACAAGCTTTAGCCAAGCTCAACACAGCATTTATGTAGGCAGCATGAAGCATAAACTCCAATCACTGCGCAGCCTTGCACAGAAGGATGACGCTCAGGGCTTGACTCCACAAAATATGGAAGATATGGAAATAGCTCAGATGTGTTTCACAGGTCTTTAAGCTTCAGTAGTAAGCAAGACTGAAGCACATGGGCTCCTGCTCATCCATGCCTGACAAAACAGTTCTGCAACAAGTAATGCTCCTGCCGTTCCAATAACAAGCACTGACAATTTCACAGCAGCCCACAAAAGCATACAGAATAATGCTCTGATAACATAAGCCTCTGATAAAATATAAATGAAGGCTAATTTCTCAGCAATGCAAGTCTGCTGACTTCCTTCATCTACTCATGGCAAAACCTTCTGCAGTCACAGTCAAGTCTTAAAAGCAGTAAGGGTGCATGGCACACAAGGGTGTGCAGTGCCTGCAGCTCCCTGACTAAGCCCATCACCTCTCACTTCAACACCCTAGTGAGCAGGTACAGAGCATGTGAAGCAAACAAAATGTTCACTACTCTTCCTAGCTGTCATAGATCTTAATACTGGGAGAAAGATAACGAAAGAAAGGAAGGCAGAGCAGGAATTCCTGCCACAAGAGCAGTGCCAGCACAGTGACACGGGTGACACCGAGGCATGGTCACAGCCCTGTGCAGTTCAACACCTGTTACCTGACAGGGCAGAGGAGCCCCAGAACCACTGGCACACATCCAACACCAGCAGGAATAAGCTGTGTCACGACAGGGGAGGTACCAGGAAAGCAAACAATGACAGAAGACAGGAACCAGAAAACAGAGTTATATTGCGTGACTACAAATCCTATGTTACGTAGTTCTTGTCATAATTAAATCACAACTTTTCCATTCTATGAGTTCTTTCTCTGTTCCTTGTAGCTTGTATAGCCCATATGTTCACAACAGATGGATCAATGCTGTAGCTCAGTGACATTTTTCTAATTATAGATGGATTTATGAAATTCTTAAATAATTTTGAAGGAAATGCTCCCTGCTGATGGAAGGTGAGTCAGTGTAGCATCACTGTCAGCAGCAAACACCAAAACCAAGGAAGTTAAATTGGTGTGGCTTTATTAAAAGGAAAAGGTAAAAAATTTATTTAAAAGATAACATCACAAAAAGCTGAAGGAGACAAACAGGTAAAGTGTTGAGAAAGTGAGCACAAAACAACAAAAAAATTAAGTGGAAGTTAGATGTAGAGACAACCCATACAGGCTGGGTAGAACCCGGGGGTCCAGAGGACTCTCAACCCTGATGACTGAGCATTATCTGCCAGACACTTCAAACAAACTATTTCTATTTCTTAAGCTTCATTATGTAAATCTAATCTCAGTGAGGTTAAATAAAATACGAGAATTTAGGGTTAAAGTAACACTGTATGAAACAACTTCAAATATCTCAGAACATAAAGACAGTATTTAAAGTTTGAATTTACATCAAACTTTGTTTGCTCTAATGATTTCAGATTTTTCCTGTCTCTTTACTGATTCTCATTTGAAGTGTGCTGTAAATAATATTCCAATACAAATTGTTGAAAGAAGAGTTAGTTTTTGCAACTTAACAACTCATTAATTTATGGTCATAAATTCCAGGAATGAAGCAGCCTGAATGCTAAGCTGGCTTCTCCAATGAAAACAGCACTGACATCTATTATAAGGACGATTTACCAAACGACTGCATTATGCTTTACTGATTTTACAAACCAAGAAGCTCTGCTAATAATCATATAAGTGATTTAAAATTTACATGGAGCTGATTTACAAATGCATTACATCTCTACTGAAAATTCAGTAAAGGCTGCTATATATTATTTAAAGCTGTACAATTATCTGCATTTAACCTGAAGCTGTCTCCCATTAATTTGTAACTTTGAGTGGCATGAACATACTTTAAACCTAGTATGTACAAACACATGGCATCGTCAAGACAGTATGTCCCAAGACTGAAATAACAGCAAGATATTTTGTTAATACAGCAAACACACACAGTGCTTTTCATGGAGTATCAGCCAACATTCTGTTGTTCTCTGTGGAAAAAACCCCCAACATTTGTATTTTCCAATTTTTAGTTTTTGCTTCCTGCGCAAATTAAGTCAAACGTAGTTCATGTGATTTTTACAGCTCCCAACATTATGCAGATTGCATAGCAATATTGCAGCAGTCTTGCCCTTTCAGGCTCTTGGAGGCATGAGGGGATAGAGATTCCCCACTTTTGGAAGGTGGCACTAAACCACTGATAACTCTTCCAACCCTCGTGCCACACTGTGAGATAGTGCTGTTACCTGCTCTCAGGAGAGAAAATTAGGTACACCACCCTGACCTGTGAAAATTTTCCAGGAAAAGAAAGAGCCCAGCTCTCCCACCCATCTTTTTTCCCTCTCCTACAGACTACCTGCTAAAAGACAAAGGTAGTAACAGAAAAGAGGCGCGTGCAACGTGATTTCAGTACAAGGGATTGACCCCCACATCTCCCTCTCATTTTATGTCTCATTCTCCATAGCAGGATTTCCTTGGCCATGCCACTTTAGACCTACAGTATACATTGTTATTGTCTGTCACAAGATGGTGCAAATATTAAATTTTCAGCTGGAAATTCTCTAAGCTCTACCAAGGCTCAACTGGTCACAGAGGTCTCTGATGGTTTAGCCCCCAAAGGTGGCCTTTCCTCCTTCATTTTGTTTTCTTCTGTCAGGCTCCAGTCCCCCTCTCACCTCTCTCCAAACATGGAGGGGAGAAAGCCCATGCAGCCCCTGTCCCTCAGGCCACCGAGGCACAGCCAGCAGCACCAGGATGGCTCCCCAGCGGGGTGACTGCCTGACGAGGCCAGGGGCCCCATCCCCAGCCACTCTTCCACACCGCATGCTGCTCCAGAGAACGGCAGCTGCAGCGTGAAAGTGGCTGCTTCACCTAATCACAGGCCCTTATATGCCAAAAAGTGACTCCCAAACTTGTTCTCACATCTGCACAATGCTGTAGTAGAATGCTATCAGATAAACAGTCTCCATTTTTCCTGTCACTCCTGCCACGTGATCCCAGTGGTTTCCAAACTTTGCACACTCAATCAGTACAAAATGTTTGACCATGGACTCCCAAAATGTATGCTTACTTATAAACTATGTGTATGTACTACTCAACTAATACAATATGCTTATTTTAAAACGTACACAGAAATACGAACTATAAAGGAAAATAAAGATAAACCAAAGAGTATTTCCTTCCTACTCCTACAGTGGACTGTCCTACCCACATTCTGCTTTGGAAACCACACTCCAGGCAAACATTTCATCAGACAAGCTGTGCAGTTGGGAGAAAAGACCTTTCCCCATATTCCCACATTGTTTACCTAATATGCTTAGGCCTGCTCAATCTCCCTGCTCATACATGACATAAAGGGACTACAGTTTTAAATCAACAAACAAACAATTTTCCCTAAAATTCTCCTGAAACAAATATTGTGAGTTCACTCACAATGAAGAGAGAGGCAATATAGAAATAAACCTGAAACTATTATGACGTCTCTTTCTCACAACTCTCAATGGCTTGACTAACTGCAAAGTTAACCAGCCCAGGAGAGTGCATGCTTTTCACAACTACTTTATTACTGTCTCTGTTGTTGTAACAATTGGCAAGAGGCAAATGCTTCAGACAGCTCCAGGCAGACTCCTTCAATGTTCTCTGCAAAAGGGAACAACCTGAAGTATATCCAGCCTCCATAGACCCCTTTGTTATTAAGGGCTGTTTTTCAGAGGACTCTCCGAACCAGTGTCCTGAACAAGCTAAAATTAGCTTATCAGAAAGCTAGTCTTCCAAAAAGCAAACAAAAAAAGCTCCATCAAACTCCAAGAATGCTTCAAGTAAATTGATCTGGGAAAGGGGAGAAATGGTAAGACAAACACTGCTTGCTTCTTGATATCATCAATAAGCTGACAGGCAAACTTTGCAAGAACGTGTCACAGAATAGAGACTGTCATTTCAGTGAATCCTTTTCCCACACAGGCAGGACAAACTGAAGGAGACAGCAGTAATCCCCCATCAGCAGAGCAGCCAGGCTGATCCAAACCACGTGCAGGCAACCCAGCACTGAGGGGCTGGACAGTAGCACAGGCTGCAGCCCATGCTCTCAGAGCCTCTCACAGCCTAAAAGATCAACAGCACCACCCACTCACACTAGAATTCTTTGCTTTTATAAAATACAAAAGAAAATAAGAGAGGAATTAAAAAAGATTTACCAAATGACTAGGTAAATGGAAGGTTTTGTTGCAGGAACTAGCTAACAGTTGCTAAGAAGGACTACTCTGGCTGCTGCTCAGCCCATCACTCCTTGCTTGACTGAGGTGCGCCATCCAAACAACCTAATATGTTTCAAAAGTAGCTCTCATTTCACTGATCAAATACATATAAAATCAGCCACCTGCCATGTGAGAAAATGACTAATGCTTGCATCTTTTAAACTCTTCGCTTCACCACTGAAGAAGCTTTTGAACACAGCACCATTTGAATTTGCTGAAAGAAACCTGCTTTTCAAAACAAGATTTCAAAGGGCTTAAGAAAACATACAAAGAGATGATAAAGATCAAAGGTAAATCTGAGTAACTTACTGCTGCTGCTGCGGCCTCTTCTCCACCTACATAGATAGAAGAAGCAATCTCCATCACAGACAAGTTTGTGGGAGCATCTGTAGTGGATGATGATCTGGGCCGACCCGACTGAATATCCTGAGCAGACCTTCTGTTGATCTGCGGGCTTCCTTTCGGGGCATCTCCCTTGCCCCACCTGCTGTGCAGGCTGGTCCCTCTCTTCATTTTGGGTGGCACTCTGATCTGCTGAAGCACCCGGTTCAGAGCTGTGGGGTGGGTGGAGACACCATCAATTTCAGCACAGACGCTTTGGCTTTCCAAATCCAGGTCAGGCTCCAGCTCAGCCTGAACTTGCTGGACATCATGTGGAGAAACAGACGACCTCCTGCGCTGATGCTGGAACAGGTGCTTCAAGCCTTGACCAATGACATTAATGTTCTCCAAAGCATTATGCGTTATTTTGGATAATTTTTGCTCTGATTCATGTTGTTTTTTGGTCTCTTGATCTTGGGATTTGCCTCCAGGATCAGGGTCATCAGACAACTGTTCAGTGCCAGACGGCTCCATTGCTGACACCCAACAAGTTTATTTGACTATTCATACATAAATATGTCCCCTTTCTTTAAAAGGCTTGTGTTTATTTTGAAAATGCCAAGATTGCCAGCCAATTAGGTGTATAATTGCTTCAAGAGTGACTACACATGCAGCTGTGCCACGGTGATCTCATGCTTATCTAATGTTAAACAAAAGAGTAGTCATTATTATACATCCATGCAGCAAGTGTGAGTTAAAAATCCATGTGCAAAACATGCCATTAACAAAATAAAATGTATCAGTCCTTGGAGCACCCCTCCACGTTGCATTAGTTGCATCTAGGCCGTATGCAGAAGCCAAAGCTTGCGTGAGACAAGTCATTCATTGCCTGGGGGGAGAAGTCCAGCACAGAGGGTGCAGGAAAGCAAGAAAGGTAAAAAAGCTGTTCAAAAAGGGGAGAAGCAAGAAGAAACCAGTGGGGTTTTGTTTATTCAAAACAAGCCCATAATAACATCTAACATGAGGTTAAACTTTTGAAAAGCACGTTAGTCACTTAGGCAGAATTAATTTTGCTCTTCGACAAAGATCTGATACTAAGACCCTAACTTAACAGTATTTAATACATGCAAAAAACCAGAACATTTCCAAATGAGTTATTCATTTCCACATAGTGAGAAATGGCTTATTACAGCCAGCATCCACTGACGGCGCTGGAAACTAGCTGTGAAAATCTATCTTCAAGCAAGAACAGGCAAGGGAAATGCTTTCAATTGGCATACTCTTGTCCACAGTTCTCAGAGGAAACAAGAATGCCTTTTGAAAAGTAGATTAAGCAACCAAATCTGCAAGGGATCAGCACCAGGTATGTGCAGCTCAGCCTCTGGCACAGGAACTGCGCAGCTGTTCTTGGAGAGCTCAACCCGAGTCACTCCCCGGGCTCAGGCAGGACTGGATTATACAACAGTGCAGCCCAGCACTTGCTCGTAGCAACAACTATGGGAGAAGGTCAGCAAAGATACGGGGAAGAAAGGGAGGAAGGAAGGATACAGTAACTGAAAGGGTTTACATCAGCACCATGAGATCACATGCTCAGAAGCTGACCACTGTTTTCTGCAAGAGAAAACTTTGATTAGGCTTCTTTAAATATAGAAACCAGCTCACAGAGGTCTACCTCAATCTTGGCAGAAAGCCGTTTGTGCTTTAGAAAATAATTATTTGAAACTCAGCATATTTGGGATTTCAGAGTGTTCATTTCTATGCTAGAACAGCTGCAGAAACATAATGCACTGAGTTTACAACTGGAGTGCTCTTGATTTTGTGCATCTGAAGCCTAACACAGTGGGTTAAACAGATATTCCAAAATGCTTTCCAAATTGCCATCCAAAAATATCAGAAGAGCTGCCTCTCTCTCTCTTTTTTTCCAAGTGTCACTGCTATTAGCTGGAATCAAGAAGAAACTCAGTACATACAGAAAGCAGAACACTGGAATCATGCAGGATTTTATCTCAGTGCTTTGAAGATGCTATAAGCATTGAGTGTAAATAAACTGGCCAGTTTAATCAGTAACACATTAAATGCAAAGGAATAAACTACATCCAAGAAAAATATATTGACCCACATTAATTCAGCAATTGTGTGGCAGAAGAAAAAAGATGTGCCAACAATGTACCTACATACTTAACACTTTCTTAAATGAATTAAAGTGCCTTTCTGTCTAGCAGTATGCTTTAGCTTTTGAGCTTCCTCTTTCTTAATCTTTATTTTTCCCCCTCAGGTAACAGGTTTTGCAGAAAATTAGACTACAGGTCTCCACTCAATTTGTGTTTTGGGACAAAAAATCTCAAAACTAGATGCTCTTTTTTAACCAACAGACCAAATGAACTTCAGTGAACAAAACTCACCATCTTAAAAAGCAAGAGTCCCAAAACTATTTGGCGTATAAAATACAAACCTGCCAGCTGACCCATAACTGCCTTTTTCATTTTAGCTAATTCACTCAGCATTTATTTTCAGTCAGGACTCACTGAAGAACTGCAGTTCTTATCTAAGATGATTGGTAAACTTTCCAGCCAGGATCTCTTTGATCTCCTCCTGCATGCTCTCTATCCACATTATCACTGGCAATGCTGCTGGTCTTAAAGAACACCACCTGAGTCTGGAATTCCATGCATTATCTGCTACAAAAAACTACCCTGTTTAAATTAAACTATGGCAGTTTACAGATCAGCCCACAGTGAGCTCACAAACTAGGCATGACCACCCTGTGTATTCTGGGACATATTTCTGAAATTATATGGCCTCTCAGAGGCTCCTAATGGGAGCTTTGTAGTCATCTCCTACTTCTATTTCCATAGGATGAGTCTGTTGTGAGCCTGAAATGAGCTCTGCAAATTACACATGTGGTATGAAGATCCTTACAAATATTTACTTGTTCTAGTATCTACTTCTGGAGAAAAAAATAAGTGTGAAGGATTGTGAATCTTCAAAATTAATTAGCACACTTATTTACATTGGATTCAACTTTTGTGCTCACTTTTGTTTTCTCTACTTACAACCACCTTTATATTCTGTTAAGTGGGAGGAAAGAATACTTTATAGCATAAAGTTCAAAAACATAAATGTCTTATTTGTACAAGAATATACTACATCAGGAACAAAATTCACAATAACATATACAGCCAACTGAGCAGATGTTATAACATTGTTACATCCCAGAAGATTCTAATACAGTCCTTCATTTGTGCAATTATTTCCCAGGAGCCCTGGGAAACAAAACAGTTCAAAAGGAAAAACTGGCAAAACCAACATTAGGTAATAGTGAAAGGATAAACTTGTACTTGCCTCCATCATTTGCCCTTTAGCATGGCTGACCCACAGCAGTCCCTCCACTGAACAGAACTGCAAAAGAAATTAGGTATGAGATATAATACTGAAAACAGGAGGAAAGATATACAAAAACAACAAAGAAAGAGCATGATTCCAACTTCTAATTTTTTTTTTTTTTTTAGTAATTTTTCCCATTATTTTGCTTGCTTGAAATGCAAGCGACCCTGGAAGCTGTTCTGTTTTAAACTCTTTCAAATAACTGAAGGGATATAAATATGACTGAATTTAAACTGAAAGTTTAACTGAAGTCAAAACTGAAATCTTATGGAGTTAATCAAGAAGTTCTTGTGAAGGAGCATTTTCTGTTGGGGTTTATGGCCACCACCACAGGCTGAAAGCAGAGGAAGATGTCAGGTCTCCAACCTGCAGCATAGAGATTTTATTTTCTTCTCCTATTTAGTCCTTCTCCACATTCCCAGCACAGGTCAAACAGCTGTCTCTGGTTTACCTGACGTTCACCTCACAGGAGGTAAAAGCTGTGAGCACGCAGACACATTTGCACCTGCCACAGCCCCTTGCATGGGCAGCCCCTCCCTGTACATTTCTGCAAATGACCCAAAGGCCAGGTGCTTGCTAGGGGATGACAAGAGGACAGCTGAGACCAGACATGGTGACCACGCTTCTCTAGCCAGCCACAAGGACTATTCTGAAACACAGCCAAATCACCCAGATTTCCCAAAGATAATCATTAACTCAACCAGTTCTGGAAAACAGGGAGCACACTATTCTTCAGGTGAACATCACAAGAACTCCGCACAAAAGGAGTATTTTGACTGTTTTATTCCACATCAGATTCCCACGTCCAAGACAGAAAGACAGAAAGAAAGGGTTACTCTGATCCACTGAAGTGGGATGCTAGAATATGAAGAAAGTGATGACAGCAAATATTAGGAACTTGGAAAAAATGAATGAATTGAAAAAGATCTTCATATAGAAGAAATTCCATTTTTATACTAGCAGTATGCAGGGATTTTAGAAGAAAAACAAACTGGACGAAGAGTTATTATAAAGACAGCCTGCTTTACTAGGCTCAAGAGGAAGCCTGCAATTCAAAACTGTGTGGTCTGCCACAGGAGGGCTGACAGTTGACGCTTCCACTTAATTTAGTGGCTTGTTTCAGAAAACGGACATCCACACCCGCTCTTCCTCAAAACCAAGCTGAAGTTAAGGCCAAACAGCAGCATTTCCACTAAAACACCTCTGTAAAAGGGAAAAATGTTGCACCCATATTTACGTGTTCCACAAAAAAGTCAAGTGCATGCTCTGAACTCAGGACTTCACTGAAGAACACTGAAGGGAAGCCACAGTCCAAGCAGGGATCTGAAGCTGCCCTTTCACACCACAAGAAGTACAACAGAAATAGCGACTTAAGGAATTTCCAACCTCTTTTGTCCCCTGGGGCTCATTTTCAGAACCACAGCATGGCATCCAATTTTAGCTTTTGTAGGCGCAGATATTTCCAGACTGTGATATGAACCAATACAAAAAAAAAAAACCCTCTTATTTGAAGGAAGACAGGACTGAGGGACAAATCTGACCATAAACCCAGTTATAACAACTTTAGAATAAGGTTAAAGAGAGGAAGTAGACAGGGTACACAATTACTCCCAAATGGTGTTACCAAAAACCTCCTATCTGATGCTATGCCCACAACAGCTGCAGAAACAGGAACTCACATGAGCTTCATCAAGGACTCAGCAGCATACAAGTGATTTCACTTCCACAATTCAAAGACTGCATTTTGCAAACAGAGAAACTCCCTCCCCTAAAGGAAAAGACTGAAGAAACGTTAAGCAAATATTCAAAACAATGTGTCTTCCACAAAGAAAAGCATGCATTCAATTCCTTGAAGCATCTCCAATATTTTAGTGGTCAGTTGCACTCCTACTATTAACCTCCCCTATTAACATTTGCATTATCTGGATCTGATCCTTCAGTCTCTGGAAAAATGCAACAGTACTAGGCCATGGCAAGAATTTCGGCAGGATCTTTTCTGGAGAGGAAGGGATGGAGGGGAGAGATCAAAGCTGCTTTATCTCCTTATTGCCTGTCTGCCAGAGACACTGCCACCTTCTGTGTGTCAAAGCTGACTCAAATGTCAGGAACAAGAGAACCATAAAGTGGAAATACAGGTATTTTCATTCCCCTTCCAAGGGAAGACAAAAGGTTATACTACACCTATTTCTGGCATTAAAGAGAGACATCTAAGCACTCTAATAATACAAAGAAAAGAAGAGATGGCCTCTCATTTAACTCCTAGCAGAATTACCTGTGATAATACCAGCAGAGAAGCTGCCAAGATTTAGCAACTCTAGTTCTAAAAGAGAGGGTTATTCCAGGCTTGCAGTTGTAAGGAGGTTAAAACAAGTTAAATTAGCGTGCTTGTAAAGAAAGATATCATCTACCACCAACCCACACCCCACACTATGTGTGATTTTAACATGTGCTTTTGGCCCTGAATTTGGAAAGTATCATATTTACAAAGACTCGTGAAAGAAGTAGAATTAACCTCAACACAGAGTGGTAAAATACTCCCCCTGATGACTCAAAACCAGCTCTACCAGTATTGTTTAAAATGTGACACAAATCTGGCAAGACAAATTCTGACCAGAAGTCAACAGTTATCGCTATTCTGACCATTGATGCTGCTCAACCATGGACAGCTTCATCCTGCTCTTCAGAAGAAAACTCTCCCTCCTGATCCTTCTTCAAGATTGCTACTCTAGGGAGCTTATACTTAAGTGCAACTCTTTAAAAAAATTGTATAACAGTAGTGGCCTTAATCTGGGGCCAGTTTGTTTACATGGCCTTTTCCAATCAAGCATTAGCACATTCCTCCCTGCAGGACTACAAACAAGATGTTCAGGTTGCCCATCAAACACTGCTTGAAGTCCTTCAGTCAGCACTTGCAGGAGACTGGGAGGACCTATCTGTAGCCATGATATTATGAAAATCCTTTGCTGGGATTTTTCCTCTCCTGAGAAGCTGAGGAGCCTCAGGAGAGAAATGTAAACAATTACTGTCTGCTGCTGTGGAATGCAACAGGTGCATCTGTGATTGCTCCATGTGGATTGTTTTCCATTGATGAGCAATCACAGCCACCTGTGCCAAGGCTGTGAGCAGTCACAGGATTTTGTTATTCTATTCTGTTCTTTCTTGTTGTAGCCTTCTGATCTCTCTGTTCTTTTAGTATAGTTTAATGTAGTATTTTAATATAATATTTAATATAATAAATCAACCTTCTGAAATGAAGTCAAACCTCATGTCTCAACACACAGAGAGTCCTCAACACCTATCAGTAAAAGACTACCCACACCTTCTTACCTGTTCTCAGTGTTAAAAACCTGCTATCAGCTGACAACAGAAACAGGAGACATGTAAAAGGTGGTTTTGGCTTGACTCATTAGAGTCACTTCTCCCAGTCCCAGGTAGGCTCAAGCAGAGCTTGAGACAAGGAACAATTAACTCCATTCCTATGTACCTAACGAGTAGGAACAGCATCAGCCTGGCCCGTGTATCTCAGAGACACCGTGTGAGCAGAGCCATGGCACCTGCCCTGCAGCACACAGACACGCTGCCAGGCCTCTTTTCAGGTGCCAAGGAACCAGCCCAGCACAGCCACAATTCCCTATCCCCTCAGAGCAGCACCTTTTGGAACAGGACCCATGTTAGCCATCCATCAACTGCTACCACACGGACTTGTGAATTCCCTGCTTTGCTCACTTTTTGGACTTCTGCAATAAAAATACTGATGCATATCTATGGTCCTTTTCTTCTCTTAGATCTTATCATGCATTCTAGAGACACACACACACAAACTGCACAAACACAGCACAGCAAAGCAGCCACTCACAAATATGCTGCTTTTCAATATCCGCCTCCACATCCAGCTGCACAGAGGCAGTAATGTGGTATAAAGCAATTGGGCTTGACTACTTTGTTGCCAATGGGAAACAAGTAGTCACGCATTTAAAACCTCAGCCAAAATCAGAATGTTTCCTCCCACATTCATGGTAGAGTCCACATAAAAAAAATCCACAAATCTTTACCCAAAGTAGCACAAGAGAGCAGTCTTATTTGAAATAAGGCTGAATTTCAGCTACCACTGAGAAGGTGCAGGCTTACAATCAGAGCCAAAAGCAAGCCCCAAGTTAATGGCTCTTTGCAGAGCTGTTGTGCAATTTGGGTTTCTGCCAGAACACCTGTTTGCTAGCTGCAGAGCAGCTCTGCAGCTGGTCAGGCCCCCAGTACAGGTACATGGGTGGTTATAGAACACCAGCTACACCAGGTGGGTCCTCCCCAGCTGCAGAGCTTCCTCCTTCCCATAAATGAACCTCGTGAGGTTCCTGCCTGCTTACTCATCAAGCCTATCCAGGTGCCTCTGAATGGCAGTACTATCATCAGGTCTATCAACTTCCCATCTTGTATCATCTACAAAATTCCTCACCTGGCCCTATTAATATTTTATTAATAAAGAGATTGTACAGTACTGGACCCTGTACTTCTCCCACAGACTGGAATTACACCAGAAATATTTAAAAGATTTTAGTAAACCAGAACCAAAACTTTCAGCACAACAAACCAGCTGAGAGCTAACTCCCACAGCAAAAGCATGACCAGCACAGGAACTGTGCTGCAGGGCAGCAAGCAGCCACTGACACAGTCTCCCCCTCTGCTCCTCTTACCACAGCATGCCCTGCAGCCCAGGCAGTCAAACTTCTCACAGGCATCCAATGCGTACTAGACAAGTTCTTTTGTTATGCAAAGGCTCACATACACAGAATATTTTCCTCCACAAAGCATTTAATATAAATCAGTAGCAACCAGAGCTAGAGGCTACCCCAGCTGAAAGCCAGCACAGGGAAGGACCACAGCCCCACACACCTTGGAGGGACTGGCTTCCACCAACAGAGCTTTTGCCTTGCTAGTCAGTCAGCCATCACTGGCCTGAATGGGCTAAGTTCAGTCCTAACAAAATCTGACCCAAAGTCACTCTGTGTTCACTTCTCCCATTTTAACTGCTATTCAACCTCAGGATCACAGCAAGGACACTCACTGCTTCTCACAGACAAGTGACATTACCCCTTACGATTGTGACCCACTAAAGCATGAGATGCATGTTCAGCAGACAGTCATTTACAAACATGGAGTGCTATGGGTGCAGCACTTCAGTGATCCCAGAAAAGGCCACAGTCCTTTTGCTCAAAACTAATATAACTGGGAACCATGAAAAAAACATTTATTTGCCCTCAGGATAATCACCATGGCAACTGGCTTCCAGGAAAATAATAGTCAACAGCTTCAATAAGGAAGGCCATTGGATTTGTTAAGGACACCATCAGCTCACACAAATACAAAATATACTGAAATTCGCCAACTTTATGGCTGAAGAAACTGTAAATAGGTATCTGCAAACTTACTGTCATAACCCATCCCACCAGCTATATCAAAGGCAGTACCATTCATCTCAACACTGCAGTGTCCCTTAATGTTCTTTGAACTTTTTAAACACCCTGTAGAACAGTTTTAATACAATGTTCTTTAATGTACACAATTTCACCTTTCAGACCATTTCTTTAAATCAAAAGAAAACTTTATCGTATACTCAATCTCCTTGTCACCCAACATTTTAGTAATTCATTTTTAGTTATATGAGTTTGAATAATTAAACTGCACTTATGTTTTTTCACGAAACAATGTTTTAAAAAGGTAGGTCAACATTATCTTACAGTTAAGGAAATAAAGACTAATACTCTGTTTAGGAATACGCACAGAGACATGCACTCTATGTATTCTTACAGGTATTCAAAGATACTGCAGTTGTTCTATTTTCACAGAATGGCAGGTTTTTTTGGAAATGTGCACCATTAATTGACAGGATTACAGAGATCATAACCTACTTATATACAACAAAAAAAAAATGCACCATGTTGGGTTACAGAATCCACATCCCTGGTACACTGCATAAAGCACCACTCAGCTGGCAATGGGCAGCTCAGCAAACCACTCCTGATGTGTTCTTACAGCTTCTATGAAAGCTCACAGGAAACAATGCTCCTCCTTTCTGCCCAATGCTACTTTTGCACACTGCCACAGCCAAATAACACTGCCCAAGCAGACTGAGAAACACATTTAAAGTGTGCTGCACCAACTTCTGCCCACTTGTAACACAGAATCTCACCAAGGTGCCAATCCCTGGCCCCAGCTCTGCTTGCAGGCAAATGATGGAGTTCCTTCATCTAAGGGATTCCCTTCCCAACCACTGCACTTTGCTGCCCATCACAGTTCACACGTGCACTGCAACACAGCCCATTCTGCCTTCCTGTTACAGAAACACCATCAGGCTGTTTTAAGCCAGACAGGGAGGTAGGTCAGATTTGTGTCCCTCCAGTATCATGTCAGTCTGAATCACTGGAGCTTATCAACAAAATCATGTGTGTTGTCTGCTAAATACATCCTGTACAGCAAAGTGGCATGATGAATGATTCAGTCAGGTAGCTACTTTCAGCACAACTAGTTTTCCTTTTAAACAAAACCCACTAATGAATGTCTCTTCTGGAAGCCAGAGAGGTGTGTGTTTGGCTGCCTTTCACTGTAAGCCACCATTAACTGACAAGACCACCACTGCTCTGGAAGGCTGGCATCTACATCACAGAAGGGATAACCAAAGGGAGTCCAAGCAGCAGTCCTTTTACAAAAGGAAAGGATGTTATCAGTGCACACCAGCTTCCTCTAAGCCCAGAGAGAGGCAGCTAGGCAGCTTCCTCATTCCAGGTTTAGAATACATAGACAGCTAAAAGCTTCCAGGAAAATAAAACTGTGCATGTTGGTTACTTTCTATGCTGTGGAAACAGCCAAGGCTGTCCATCTCTTGTTACCTGGGTGGGACAAACCTGCACAACAACAAGGCACATCCCACCCAGATCTGCTTGTGTCTTGTACATCACAGGCACATTGTCTAATGAGACTGCTCCTTTCTGGGAGCAGAGACCACTACGCCAGCACCTGTGCACAGGAAGGCAAGCAAAATATCCTTCTTTCCTAACCTTCATTCCAGATGCTTCCAAATTCAAGGCAAGTACTTTGTAACTTCATGTGAGTGCTTTACCTAAGCAAAGAGAGCAACCACCATGGCCTCCCAGGCGCATTTCAATGCCTGCTGCATGTCTGTCACATACGTTGACAAAGAAAATTTCTGCAGACCATGGTGGTATTTAGGAAGTGAATGGGTGAGCAGTGGATACAGCTTTTCTCAAGACAATCTTTTGAGTACTCCCACAGCAGGTTCAACCAAGGTCACTCTCCATACAATGCCAGCTGGGTATTCTGGTGCTCCTACAGCCTCACTGTGTACACATATATTCTGCTGCTAAAACCATGCAAAACAGTGCACATCAGCCTAAATCTAGAGTATGTATACCTAGAGCTCTCTTTGCCCTAATCAGATGGCTTTCCCCTTCCATGTGTTCTAAGTCACAGCAGGCATACATACCTCAAAAGTGCTCAGGGTAGCTTGTCTCTTTGCATAGGTATGCTCACAGTTGTAATCCAAATGTCACCAACAGACGTCTAACTTTAAAAATTTAGAAGTATAAATTCCAGAGGAAACAGGAAAGTCAGGGGAGGGAAGAAGATATGATTTATCAACTTCTACATTTACAGACATCTGCAGTAAGTACTGTAGGTCATTTTCAGAGTAAATCTTGGCAACAAAGCTTCTTTGTAGAGGAGAAAGACCTGCCAAAATTAACAAGCATAATAACAAACACCATTAATACCTGATAAACAATAAAACAGCACACATTATTCAGAGTCCCCTTCAGAGAAAATAATTAACTCATTTGAAATACTGAGTTTCTACTGGCTTTGACGTATTTAAAATTAGAAGCAGCTTCTCAAGTTACCTCATACTCTGACTACTTTAATGTAATAAATTATCTCAAGGAGGGAAATCCTCTAAGCATTCAAATGAAGTTTGATCATATCAGAGCATACAACACTACACCACATCACAGACTGCCCTGATTCAGAAAAAACTTCCCAGCTCACCAAATGCCTTGATGTTCACTGGGTATTTTGCCACAGGAGTGCCTGTGTGACCAGTGTCAGACTAAAGAATTAAGGCACTGTCCAAAACAAGGACCAACACATAGCGTGATGGAAGCCCCAACACAGCATGCACATAAAAGTACATACTTGGGGGGTACCTGCATGGCATAAATGCTCAGGAGTGTTGGCAAACTTCTGAACTTCTCAGGTTTGGATTTAAGTTAATAAAACGTAAACCTTTTTGGCGCAAAGACCTCCTGTTCTGTGTTTGCATTTCACACGGTGTGTCAGATCTAGGTTCCTAATCAAAGTTCTCAATCTTATTTTGATAGAAGTATTTTGTATTTTTGGTACATGAGTAGGATTCTTCTCTATAAATAAAAAGGGTCAATTAGACCTGCATTACTGTAAAATGTTTCTGAAACTATGAAGACATTATATTTTGCAAAAATATATTTAACTCCACACAACTGCTTGTTTTCTTCTTTCCTTTTTCCTTAACAGCTTGGCTGGAAGAACAATTTTGAGAATTTGGAGCTTAAATTCAAGCCCAAAGAATCAGCTCACTGTGCTGTAACAATATCCAGGGTCTCAACTGCTTAGGGGAGTTAAGTATTTTAAGTATTTAATCATAGCAGAATACTAAGTTTCTAGAAGTGCAGAAAATGCACATCTAGACTGTCACCTTCACCTTTCATTCAGCCATCTTCACTCTTTCCAGGGATGTCAGTTTATCCTCTAGGAAACATTGTGCCAAGTTCACAGATTTGCTGACCTTGGAAGGGAGCTCGGGATGTCACCTGGGCCACCCAGGGTTCATTGCCTACACATCATTTTGAAAGTCTTGCTATTGAGAGACTCCCCTGTTCCTGGCCCAGGCAAGATCAAGTCCCCATGAGCTCCAGTCCCCACAGAGAGTGCACAACCTCTGTGCCAAGCAGCATTCAGTGTGCCACAGCCACCAGCCTTGACCAGGACTTAGGGGACAGGCACAGCAAAAACCACTCCCTGTATTTCAGGGGTGAGGAGACTCCAGGTCTATCAAGAGGCAGCCAACCAGCTACCTCATCTGAGAAACACCTTGCACTCAGTGAATTCAGGTGCCAAAACCCAGCCCTCACTGGCAGACAGCTACAGAACCACCTGAGGAGAACATGCCACACTGGTAAATGTGCTGGGGAAGCCAGTGGAAAGGGAAGACTCCTCCTCCAAAGCTCTAAGCAAAAATTCCTAGAAACCAAGCCCAAGATATTATCACACCAAGTCTTTTTGAATGGTTCAAAACAATTCTCAGAAAGATCAGAGAAAACACTAACACGAGGTTTGCCTGACTCCAGAGCAGCCACAGTTGCTAGCTCACAGTCAGGCACAGGCCATTCACCCAAGCAGTGGAGGAGCTGCTTGCTCCCTCTCCCCTAGACTCACTAGATACAACCTGCAGAATGCACCTCTCTAAACACATGGAAACAAAATCTCTACACTTAGAATTATTTCTATTTTGTATCTGAATTAGACATAGGTTTTAATTACAGGAGATGCGAGACATCCCAAACTATGACACAGAAATGCTTAGGAAACCAAACTCAGCAACTTTTATGTAGTAAATGGAGGAGGGAAACCCGAAGTTCCAATTTCTTTCTAAAGCAAATTCCACACAAAGTAGATCTTTCTCCGTCTTCAGTTTGCTTCCATATTTTGGATGGCTTCCAGACCAGCTGGGTGGGTTTATCAGGCAGCAGAACTGGACACAGTGTATACAAAGCTCCAACAAACTTGTTCATTTGGTGCCAGAACCCTGTGTGGCTGCAGAGCTGCTGAGCAGCACAAGCCCTGCAAGCTGGGGAGCCCCACAGACCCCAGACACGAGAAGGAAGAGCTCCCCCAGAACCAAGACAGAAACAGCCCTTCCAGTGAGTTACACCTACTCACCAGGCCTTCCTTGCCTCTAGACACTTCCAGATGGACCAAGAATTCACCCTAAGAGAAGGATCATGACCAAAAATGGAGTCACCTGCCACATGTTACCCTTCAGTGAGACACAGTGAGTGGTGAGGATCAGGGACAGCAGCACTTACTCCCTGGGCTGAGGAGAACCCAGTGTACTGGCTCAGGTCAAAGCATCACTACTTCAGTGCTACACCAGTAGCCTGAACTGTTACTAAGGGCTTCCAACCTGCAGAAACATCTGATTTTAAGGTTTGTGGATGACGGACACTGTTTATTGATGCAGTGGGAGCTACATTACCCTCTTCTGTCTCCCCCTCCCCTAGACTTCCACTCAGATCTTTGTACCTTCAGTTCAGACCTTTACACTTCCTACCCACCAGGAAGCCTCATTAAGTTTCCTTACTGATAGAGTTTTTTAGTGAAAGTGATGCTTCCACCCACCATGGGAGTTTTGCTGGCCACGGCATTTGTCACTAATGCACACCAGGTACTTCTGTGTCTCCAGTGACAGCAGCTGCACACAAGTCACAAACAGCGTCAGCTCCAAGTCTTGTGAATTGTGGCACTCATAAAGCTTCAAAGCTGCTGCTTTACCCCTTAAGCTCTTTACTTCAAAGGCCTGTCAATGACAATCTGCTTTTAAGCCGGCGAATTCTGAACTCGCTATGAAATAATTCGTGTCTTAACCATCTCATCAAAGACAGCCAAGGCGAGCAGGAATCAGTGGAGCGGACACACGCCTCAGGCGCCGCGGCAGAAGGCCCAGCGCCGGGGGCCGCCCGGGAGGGCCGGGGGCCGCGGGGGATCGCCACCGCCGGGCCGGACAGCGCCCCGCGAAGCCCGGGCCCTGCGCCCCGCACGACGGCCTGGAGCGGGGCGAGGGGGCCGGCGGGGCCGCGACCCGGACAGAGAGTCCTAAAGCGGCCGCAGGAGCGGGGGCGGCGAGAGACTGCGCGGCCGAGCGGGGGGCCTGGCGGTGGCTGAGGCGCTTGCGATGGGCGCACGCGGGGCCGGCCGGGCGGGGTCCCCTCGCCCCATCCCTCGGTTCTGGGTGTTCTCCCGCCCCGTTCCCGATCCCGTTCCCTCTCCGTTCCCGATCTCGCCGTCCGGCGGTCACTCACCGGCCGAGCGGCGGCCGCTCCATCCCCGCGCGCCGCCACCGCCCGGCCCGGCCGCGTAACGTCGCGCGAGAGGTGGGGCCGGGCGCGCGCGGTGGCGTCACCTGCGGGGGCGGGCCCTGCGGTAGGGCACGCCCTCCCCACAGCGCCTGCGAGCTGAGGCCCCGCCCCAGCAGCGCTGCCGCGGTCACGTGCGAGCTGGGCGGGGCCACGTCCGCTCGCGCTGGTCTCGGCCCGGCCCGGCCCGGCCCGGCCTGGTTCGGTCCCGGTCCCGGTCCCGTTCTCGCTCTGCGGGGCGGCTCTCGGCCTCGGTAATATATAAAAATTTAGTCTTTTCCATGTGGCATTTCCAAGAAAGTCAGCCTCATATAATTGCTTTTGAGCTAGATAGATGTGATTAACCCCCAGTGCAGATGGAGGTGCTGTATTAAAAACACGTCTCTCAAGTGTCCAGGTACAGGGCACCCGATGCTCAGAGGGCACACGTCCAGCCCAGCATAATGCTCAGCATCAGCAAGGGGCGCCAAGGCCCCACAGCTGATCTGCACACAGCAGCACGTGTCCTTGTGTGCCTGGATTGCCCTGGGTTCCCGGTGCTGTGCAGAGCGCTGGAATGAAACCCTGGACAGCTTTTCCCGTTGGTAAGGCACACTGCTGCACAGAGTGAGCGTAAACTGACCGTGTGCCATCTCCTCCTTGTACCCAGCAGCACCTGGGCTCGCTCACTTAAGCGGCCCGTGCACCCCGCAGCTGCCCACGGGCACCCACACCTCGCAGTGCGTGACCCCGGGGAGTGCCCAGCACTCAGTCCCGAGGGCAGACCTGTCACACGCGTGTCGGCTGTGCCCGCGTAGGCTGAGCACAGGGCAGCGAGGGGCACGGGGGACACGGGGCAGCGAGGGGCACGGGGGGACACGGGGCAGCGAGGGACACGGGGGGACACGGGACTGAGCTGGGACCGGGCTGGGACCGGGCTGGGACAGGGCTGGGACTGAGCTGGGCCCGGGCTGGGATCGGGCGGGGACTGAGCTGGGATCGGGCTGGGACCGGGCCGGGATCGGGCTGGGACTGAGCTGGGACCAAAGTGCGACTGAGCGGCACCGGCAGTAGGTGTTCTGGACGCACACTCAGGCAGACCGCACACACCGATAGCTCCAGGAACAGGGCACACTCACATTAGGGCTGAAACACCTGTTTCATATCCATTGTCCGGGCTAGACTTTCATACTGGCCCTTTACTGTTTACTGCTGACCCACAACCTGCACTTCAACTCAACACAAGTTTTATTTTCTGTAGAAAACCTTAAAACTCAAACTTTGTTGATCTCTGAGAGTCAAGACAGAAATGGTTTAATCCTTCCATTGTAAAAAAAGGGAAGAATGCCTGAACTGAGGAAGTGCAGAACTACTGAAACCTTTGGTAGCAGGTCACTACTGGGCAAATGGGGAATGCACACAGCACTACTATATCGTAGCAGAGGCTTCAGGATCCCATGTGGGCTTGGATCTGCAAGTGAAATAAATCATAGCATGTGTCTCAGACTGGGTAGGCAAGTGGTGTCCTTCTACCGTGGAAAGGAGTGGGCAGGCGCTGCTCCTGCTGCTGTTCCTAGGAGTTCATCCTGGCCTCTAATGCAGTACTCAGCTAGATTTTCACTACTGACAATTAACCAAATGTTACCACACCACTCATTAGTCTGAATCCTGTAAAAGTACCCAGCAGCACTACATCACTCATCACTGTGTTCACCCTTGGAAGGACCACAAGAGCTTCACTGCCTGTTGGCACCTCCTGTCAGCAGCTGCTCTTGCCATCTACGTGTCTGCCCTGCCTCATGCTTCCTGTCCATGTACAGGTTATACAAGGAGCTAACCTTGTAACGCTGAATTACAAAGTCGGGAGGGCGGTAGTAAAAGTGGGGTTTTATTCAAACCAATGTAGTGCTAAGACGGATTTAGGAAACATAGATTCAGGTCAGTTAGAAATCAATAATCAAACCTGACTATTATAAATTCACAAATATATTTCTGCATTTTTTCCTTACAAAGTCCCTTGCAAACTGCATTTGAAATACCTAAGAACTTTCTATCCACTAAAATGCTGGGATACAAATGACATGTGGAAACTGCAGGCCTTTGAGTTATTCAGGCCAAATGAGCTGGTTCAGGGAACAGACTGTGAAGGACAGACTTGCACTGAGCATATTCTCTCCATTTTCAACAGACTACTGGGGTAGGCTCAGCTTTGGTGGTACTGTGTGACCTGAATTTCACAGTCTGCCTAGAAGCACAAATCAGGCTGGGAAAAAAACAAATGCAAGAATGCAGGAGGTCCTTGTTTTCCACTTCTTCTCTGTCTTCCATTTTAACTGTATAGGAGAGAGAACAAGAGAGTAAGAGTGGCTGAAGAACTGCATTATGTACTGTGTGCCCTGAAGTACAGAATATCAGGGAACTGAGGGATAGCCCGAGGTGAAAACTGATGCTGGGCTTTATGATGAATTCAGGTTATTGACTTGAGATCTGGATGACAACATCTGAGTTTGGGATATTTAAATCCAGGATTAAAATTAAATTCTTCAAATTTTAAAAGATGTCCATCCCACTTTGAACCTTGGTCAGTTTACAGCATCTAGGTATGCACCATATTTTAGAGCCCTTAGCTATCTTCTATTCAGACTGCTGCAAAAAGGCTATGCAATATTATGTAATTCAATCCCAGTGTATTAACCTAAAATTACCTTTGACATACTTCAGTTAACTAACCAGTGTGGAATTAAGCTTGGAGTAAAACCACATCATAAGAACAAAGTGTGGGAACATGGTAGGCAAAGCTCAGTTCTTGACTTGCAGGCAAGTAATCTACTAGAAATTCACTTACAATTATTTTAAAGCATACCTTAAAATTTTTCCTCTGAGTTTAGTAGAGGTACGTTACAACCATAGGAAGACTGTTGGCCTATAATGCAGTAAAGAGAGAAAATTCCCACCTGACATCCATCAGAACAAAATCTTATTGTGGCCTATGTCTTGAAGGTTCCCAGCTATGGTCTAAGAATGCACCTTTGCTTTCAGGTGAAGAGGACTAAGAGAGTATGGGGCAAAGTGTCCTTTAAAATTTTAATTATATTTTGTGTAAAGCTTTTTACTACAATACCATTACAGTCTTATATGTTTACACTTCTAAGGCAAATACAAATATTTCTTACTCTCCAGGTGTGTAAGTGGGATAAAAACATTGAAGTTGGTGGGAGGCATCAGCACTCAAAAGTTTTCATGAGGATACAGTTATACTGGATCTTACAGGAACTTACAGCACATTTTGTTGGTTTCTCTATAACTACATCTGAACAAGATGGGATTTGTGTCACCAAAGTAGTATAAAAAGAAGAAACCACATCCCTGAGAGACCTGAGTCCCACAGAAAACCCACACCCTTGTTTGACAATTTTTGAGTGACCAAGGCTTCTGTGTAACAAACATGCAACCAGCCTTGTCTATCAGAAAGATTCAGAAAAGATTTAAGATTAGCACATCTAACTCTGGGTAAGCAGGCGACACAGCACTATTCTGTTTTGCAACTCCATTTTTAAAATTGTCTGACTGCTCAAATTGCTTCCCATCCCTAAGCTGCATGTTTTACAGTGGGAGGAGAGAAAAGGTAAAAAAAGGGCACAGCAAGGGCTGACTACTCAATAAAGTAAGGAGAGCCAGGAGCCAAACAGCATAGCACAGCTGCAAGGCAGCGGCCTCCAAAGGCCAGGCCTCCCCAGCACCTGAGCAGGACCAACAGGAGAGGCCCAGAGGCTGTGGCCAGGTCTGCCAAGCCTAGACCACCTGTCTTGCCTCC